ATTATTCCGCTTGTATTTTCACAGAAAAGTCAAAACATCGAAGTCGCTCCTTGTGGCTTCCAGTGAGTTTTTGACAGCCATTGGGATACTTGACACCAATTTTGCAAGCTAAATTTCAGTAATGTTGAACACACGCGCAGACGTTTTTCCGCGGTGTTTTACAACGTCAGTAGTAATTAAATCTCTTCAGCTAGGCTATCAGATTAGTGTCGTCAGCGAACAAACGAGGTTTTGTTTTATTTAGACATGCAGGCAAATCATTAATATATAACAAAGAGAATAGTGGCTCTAAAATAGAGCCTTGTGGTACGAAACATTTAATCAAGTTTTTTAATGAAAAGGAGTTTTTTATCTGGTATCTCTGCATGAGATAAGATTTGAGCAAAGTTATAGCTTGTCCTTTTATTCCATAGAGCTCTAACTTCCTCAACAGAATTTGATGATCAACAGTATCAAATGCCTAGCTTTTTCAAGACAATTAAAACTACTAGGTTAAATTTTTCCTGTCTATATTCATATACCAATCATTGGTACAGTTCAGCAATGCAGTTGCTCAGGGCCTTTTTTAAGGATTTTCCCTTGGGGGGGGGGGGGATTTTTTGAAAAGGGACCTTTCTGTGAGACAATATACTACAGGGTGATAGCAATGGCTGAAGGCCACGTGTGCGCCGAACATACCATGCACGCATGAATGGGGGGTGTACTCCCCCAGAAAATTTTTGAAATTTGAAGCACGGAAATGCCATTTCCTGCATTCTGAGCATCCAAATGCGCTCCAAAATGTATACTAACTATACTTGTATTTGAAATAAAAGAAGGAAAAAACCCACAAAAAGTAAATAAAAAAATTAACCATAATTTATCATTACTTATTAGAGGAGGATCCCAATGGTCACGTGTGTGGGGGTGTACTCCCCCAGAAAATTTTTGAAATTTGAAACACGGAAATGCCATTTTCTGCATTCTGAGCATCCAAATTTGCTCTAAAATTGATGCTAACTATACTTGTATTTGAAATAAAAGAAGGAAAAAATGCACAAAAAGTAAAAAAGAATATTAACCGTAATTTATCATTATACTTATTAGAGGGGGATACCGATGGCCGAAGGCCACATGTGTGGGGGCATAATCTCCAGAAAATTTTTCAAATTTGAAACCTGGAAATGCTCTTTCCTGCATTCTGAGCAACCAAGAAATAAAAAATTATTAACAATAATTTATCATTACTTAGTGGTTGAAAAACGTAACAATTTAGATCGATTTTGTTAAACGAGGACACAGGATAAAGCCTAAAACTTACTTTCCGTTTATTTATTTGTTATTCTTCGCTGTTTTGTTGGTATAAATTTAGGAAAAAGGGACTTTTCCTGGGGGGCAAAGTGTGATTTCGTGGGGGCACAAGGGGAAAGGGGCAAATGCCCCCCCCCAGCTTGTATGTTAAAAAAGGCCCTGCAGTTGCTGTTAAGTGAAACTCTCGAAAGTCAAATTGAGAATTACCAAGGAGTTCAAATTTTCTTAGGTAGTTGTACAGTTGATCGTACATAAGTCGTTCCATAATTTTGCTAATAGCTGGCAAAACTGATATTTGTCTATAGATTCCTGGAATATTTCGTTGGCCATTTTCTTGCTGAGGTATTACTCTATATAGCTATTTTCCATTCAAATACGTGTCAGTGAATCTGAGATGGCAGGAGCTGATAGTTGAATAACTTTACAAAAAATCTTATCAATGCCAGCTATTCTTTATTACCAGAAAGCCCATTTAGGAGACAATAGACATAACTACCAGGCTGAAATGCAGCAAATTGTGGTTTAGCGTCCTTAGTATATGTTTCAAAATTATAATTAAAATAAGTATTAATTTGCTGGCCAAATCTGGGCCAATTTTTGAAAAATTATTATTAAATCCCTCTGAAATTTTTTCAGCACTTGTTAAATTATCTTCATTTGTCTGTTTGTTTTGTCTGCCTAATAAGTTGTTTATACTTTCCCAAGCCTTTTTAGGATTGAATCTTTGATCAGCTAATTTCGAGGAATAGCAATCTTTTTTCATCCCTCAACTCTATATATATTTACTTTAATCTAGCAGTTTGAAAGTTTATTAACCAATCATTTTCTAGGTTTGTTAAAATGGCTTTTCTTTTTAATATCTCCCTTGTATTTATAAGATTTTTTATCTCATTTGTAATCCAAGGGACTTTCTTCGATCTGATTTTTGTATTGAAGTTGTGCATGCTTGTCTAAAACTTTCGAGGAAAAACATTCGTATCTCCTGCATCAACGATATGCCAAATTGCTCTGAAAAACTTTTTCATTTTTTTATCCTGTCGGATATTTTCAGATGATACGAATGGAATGTACATTGATAACATATAACATGGGAACAACAACTCAAACATGTTAATAGTAAGATTGCTAAGAATATTGGCACACTAAATAAATTAAGATATTACCTTGATTTGAAAATGCTCAAACAACTGTACTATGCCCTTATTTACCTATACTGTATATGAACTATGGAGTAATGTGTTGGGGTAATATGTACTTTACTCGTTTATCTAAAATTCGTACTTTGCAAAATAAATGCATTAAGAAAATATTCTTTGCTCACAAACGTGAGAATGCCATACCTATATTTCAATCTAATGGGACTCCTGAGCTTTGATAATGTTTTCAAACTGAAAATAGCTACTTTCGCATATAAAATTATTAATGATTGCGAGAAAATGCCAGTGATATTTGAAAATATGGTTACACAGCTTCAGTTTCGCACTCACACAACACAAGGTTTGCTACTAAAAAAATTTTTGAAGACCAAAAACTAGAACAAATTATGGAATACATACATTTAAGACAATTTCATCTAAAATTTGGGAAACTATTGATTATAATATAATAATGTCTGTCTCATGTCATGTATTGTCAAAACAATATATAAACAAACACTATTGCTATTGCAAAAATTGTAAGTTATGCATGTAAATGTATTTACAAATCTAGCATTGTCAATTCAATATATCTGCTCAGTAATGATTAATGTATCATTTTAAATTGAAACTATCCAATGCACGGTGAAAAGCGGACGGTGAAGTGACCATTTGATTGGTTTCTTCGGCCTCCCTTTTTCACTGTGTAGACAGTGGTCGACTCGAAAACGTAAAGCTACTTTGACCACTGCGTACGATTATGTTACTGTATCAATACTCTGAAAACTTTTTTATAATATTGTAATCTTCGATATAAACTAAGTAAAATATTTGTGTACGTCGTGCGAATTTAATAAAATTGTAATTGTAATTGTAGAATCGATGACGCGGAATGGGCCACAAAACGCCGATCAGGTTTCATATCTCGGGAGGTATATACAAACGTCGTTTTATTTCCTCGTTTTAACTGTATGGTATGCAATGTTTAACTACTAAACAACATATATCGAGTGTGGCAGCATGCTTGGAAATATATAGCGTAATCGGGTGTATCATAAATTTCCTATAAAGTTGTGAGCCCAGCTTGGAGCATCATATGCATGTTCCGAGTTTCTGGTAATGAATAACATACTTATTCATGTAAGTTCTATATTGAAAATAAATTAATTGACATATATGGTGTATTAAAAGAATTTACCAACGCGGCATCAAAAATTTTAAAAATGAAAATCATACAATAGAGTTTAGTCTAGAATATTTACCATTAAATATTCTATAGACTAAACTAGTAAACTCTATAGTGAAATTTGACTGGAACCAGGAACATATAAGATGCATATAGAACCCAATCCAGGCATTCCACTGCATACATGCCTATTTGCATAAAGAGATTGCTTTGAACTAACTAAACTATTCACTATACAGTACCAATTAGCTAGTGAAACAGGCTTTTTTTCATTTCAACTTAATTAGGAGACGATGCATGTGAATGTTTTTATACGATCATTCTCATTGCCGTGTGGGTATATTCTGCACCAGTCTATAACAAGAAAGCTGCAGATGGATGGAGATACAGTAGATGGATAGGAATATGCCAGAAGGGCCTTAATTCGCTTGAAACGTCGAAGTTCTCTTTGTATTTTTCAGGTGTAGTTGTATCCCTATCCATAATCCAGCCGCGGCTTTCTTATTATTGGCACTGTACTTACACTGCACCAGACCATTCAAGCTGATTATGTCTGTCTATAATACAGTCAACAATGACATATTAAATTTTCAATATAAGTAATTATATAAAGACTACGACGTAAGCAAATTTTATTTCGAGAATCATGGAATACATCCACAGTACTCGGGAAAATCGCATTTATGAATGATGTTGAATATAAATTGTATGACTATCAACTGGTGTATTACCAGCAGTTTTTACTCTATTTGATTTCAAGTATATGCAGCAACTACGCCCTAGCATTCTATCGCCCATGTGGTTCAAGTGCAAGTTCGATCCATTTAAATAAGGACATATCTATTTGATCATTATCAATAAAAATAATATTATGTGTAGTGCATAAATATTTACCTATGGTATTAAATTTAGATATGTTGCTTATTGCTACACCATGACCATCATACCTTTTGATTACGCTTGACACTGCAATCTTCTCAGTGGGACATTTCAGATTTTGAACAGCCCATCCATCCATCCGTGGACAGTTGACTGGCAACCCGCGACTCTCTCGATTTTCTGCTGATCGATGTGCTTCACCATGGAGTCAGCAATAACCAGAGTCTTCCTCTTTCATGGTTTGTCAATTGATTGATTTACAGGATGAACTTTGTTTTTTCTTTTTTGTTGAACTTTTAAACCTTGATGTTTCTTTTGAACGATAGTTGTAAATTGTTAATCTGGCTACTGATGCTTGCTTTGACTTCTTCATTTCGAAACGACTCTGGCTCCGTCGTTGAAGGTATATTTTAATCCTCTAGTGTTGCGAACTGATTTTCAGGATGTACTGGACTGGAGACTGAAGGCTTGCTCTTTGGCGAGTTTACTTTCGCTAATTCCACTATAAGTCATTCGTTTTGTTTTAAATCCAAAACTTGTTTTATCCCATTATTGTCCTTGGTGAGTTCTGTTACCGTTGCTTCGAGAGACTCGATTTTGGTCGCCATCTCGTTTTTATCTTCGAGCAAATATTTTGTTTTAGCATCGGATTTTCCGCTCGCGAAATCCAATTTTGGCGTTAAGTTCTTCATGATGACCACGTTTTCGGCGCTCGTATTTTGCTCGCATTTTTTATTTTTGATGTTTTCGTCAAACGCCTTAGACATGTCAAGATATACAGCATCGACTTGACCTCCAACATCCAAAATCGAGCCAATATACAGTAGTTCGAGAAGATTGGCCACGCATGATTGTCCTCTACTGAAGCAAAGTCTTAATTACCTGATACAGTTGCTCCCTGATGTTGTAAAGACGCAGCGTTCCAAAATTTTCGACACAATCGGAAGGAACGAGATTGGCCCATAATTTTCAGCATATATTCCTTTTCACCTTTCATGTTCACATAACTTTTGTTGGCGATTTACCATCTTCTGGGAGAGCACCTTGACAGTACGGACTTTCTAAAAAGCATGCAAAAAGACGTTGAAATAACAGGAGCTGTTACTTTGATCAGACGATCTGGTACGTTGGCAGACCCTGCGACTTTTGTAAAATCCTTTTGTAAGATTTTTGGCTTCTGGCAATTTCCTATATTCTGGTAATAGAGAGGTTACCCCGGTTTCGGTTTACGGGTACGAGTATCACCATTTTGTTTACCAATTTTTGCTGATGTCAGCATTTTTACCCGTAATTTCTACCCGTTTCCCCGTTGTAAACCATAGTCTACACGTAAACGACAAACGGGTGCGGGTGTTTTCTGTTTACTATTGCTGGCCGTTTAGATGGTAAAAACTTCAACATCTTACCCAAATAAGTAATGCACATATGCTCGTCAAAGTTTTCAACAATCTATGGCGAACCTCAACAGCGAAAGTTGCCATTCTCCGATTGGTTTTCTCACGCCGGAATATTTTAAATTTCTTTAAGTTACAAGTCGTTAAGTAATATAAAAATACGTTTTTCAAAGTTACCATTGCCATGATTACCATGTTAATTACCCCCCGGTGGCGAAAAATCAACCTATTTGTAAACATAATATCTCAAGAAATATGAATGATAAAAACCTGAAATAACTTTTATTTAATAGTATACCACATACTCTTGGGGATGAACTAGAACTATGGCAAAAAGAATTTTTTTGTGGACAAAATATTGAAAATACATATTATCGGCATGATACTGACTATCACAACTTTAATGCTATTGCAGATATTTTTATGATTCTAGTTCATCCCCAAGATAATGCATACAGAAGCTATACTGAAAGTTTGAAGTCAATAGCTTAAATAGAATATTTGCTTGCGAGTAAGAATTTTATGTCTGTCATTTTGTTATTATTATCATATTAATTAACTCTGCCAAGGGTGTGGAGGAAACCTGCTTTACAAAGATAAAACTTTAGCTGTAGGCAAATAGTTTAATTGATGGAACAACTAGATTATTTACAGGGTGCTGTCATATAGACGCACTCAAACATTTTACGTTTAGTCGCTTATAGTCAGCTGTCCAGGCAAGTCATCAATCTTTTCAGCAGTAGCCTGCGAACAGGCTCATTGGGAGAAAGGTGAGCCTGCACGGAACCATGCGTTTTATTCAATCATCCCCTTTTCGCATCTGCTAAACGCGAACCAATCAGCGTCGACTGCGATAAATAAACTGTCAACTGTCAAATTGACGCAAGGCGTGTACATTGTGCAACGAAGAAATACTGAAAGTTAAAATGTATGTTATATGAACAATAATACAAAGCATTGGCGGGCCGCACAATATATAGTCTCCTACGCATACCTACTTAGCGGGCTGAGCCCTCACGTAAGGTATGCTTACTTTGGCCAAGAATTCCTTTCCTCAAAATTAGCCAATCACAGCTTTACCCACGAAAATTGTGGGGCTTGACCTTTGGCTTTGACCTTGTGGCTTGGGTCGTTAAAAGTTTCAAAACATTTAATCTTGAACATTTTACATCCTCATTTGTACGAATTCATATCTTAAACCGATTACATGCGAGAGCTGAGACAGATTAGCTCATATCCAGACCTTGTGTATATAATAAACTGTGTTATACATATACCAATCTACAAATTTACAATATGGAACAATTGTAAAATCTGTTAGAATTTGTCGAGCTATTGTTTTGAACAGACAGTGTAGAAAAATCGAACAATATCACCAAAAATATTTCGCGATGTTTTGATTACTTTACAAGCGTTTGCAGGTGTTACTGTAACACGGGTAATATACTGGACAAAGACGTCAAGACAAAGTTATAAAGTTACAGTGTACATTACTGCGGGTGTAGATAATAGATTTATAAATACTAATTGAAGACTACAGAATTCAGCCTATATAAAATACTGAATTGATTCATTGCATATTTCGGTTTCTAAGTTTGTATATGACTAGCCAGTTTATAAAGTTTAATAAAATCGTAATTACAAAAGTCGCTCTGATATTGAACGTTCGGAAACTTAGTACTATTTACAACATGAGCGGCCGTGTTGTATCGGATATACAAACTCGAGCCGAAAACGACTCATCTTATGAGTTCATTGGCGAAGTAATTTTAAAAATAAACGTTGTCTAAGCCGAGAAAATCGAAGTTAAAGTTTATGTAAATCAACATGAATCTGTATCACATATACAGACTCCTTCACGCCCATGATTTCTTTTGTGTTTTCTTCATGAATTATTAATGATATATATATTGTTAATAGTATATATTGAATATACATGCCGTCACGCAGTCGCGTCAAGTTCAAAACAAGTATTACCAGTGAATAGTTTTATATACATTTAATTTTAAGCCTTCGACCTATCGCGTACATTCGTTGGAAAAATATTCAATATTTTCTACTTCGACTGCTATTGATCAGAAAACTCGATCTGTTCACATTAAATGACGTATACAGGGTGTATCAAAAAAAGCGCAATCCTCGACTGAAATGTAAATTGCTAAACAAATAATAGACGAAAATGTTAAAGTTTACATTCATTTTAAAGCGTAGGCATTCAGCTTTCTAACAGTGGGTTGTTTCTTAAATTTGACTCATTGGTTCGCGGGTAACAATACTTTACGTTATTGCGATTGGAGATTAAAAAAATTGAGATGGAATAACAAATCGTTCTCATGAAAATAACTGATTTTTTCATTAAAACAAAAAAATGTTGCATTTTATTAAATGGATTGTAACAATAAGTATAATTACGGCTTTTCTTCCACTATTTTTAACTCAGTTTGAAACTTCAAATGCGATATAATTTTGGCTTGGACCATCTAAGCTGACTAACATCAACTTGCTATAATTTCTGTTTACATTACATCGCAATTCGATGACACTCTGGCTCAGACACCAGAATGTTTTGACGATTTTTAGCATTCGTTTAAGATTTTCAAACAACCTGGTCTCTTTTAAAATACTTTTAATTTGTTCTTACGTGGTTTTCCAGATGTAGTGACGACAACATTAAAGTTTAAAGAAGAAAATTCTAACATTTAAACCGACTAAACAATAACATAGTAAACTTGCATAATTAAACAGCAACTAAAAATGATAGGTTTTACTAAATCTTTTCCTGTGCAATTATTACTAGCATTGGAGACAAGGATATTAGTTTGTTTGAAAGAGAAAAGAACAGGCTTTGAAGTAAGCCTAGAAGCGTTTAACTAGAAATAGTATTTCGAAAGTTATTAAGCACAAAAGATGAATTGCGTTTATTTTGATACACCCTGTATACCGTATTATTATTCGATTATCGCACGCTCCTTGTTTACACTTTACAGTGGACATTGTGGGCGTGTCTTGTGGGCGTGCCTTGTGTATTTGAATGCTATTGGCTAATGAATACAATGGGAAGGCGAATTGCTAGCGAAAGTAAGCAGACCGTACGTGGCGGGGCCAAACCCGCTAAAGTAGGTCTGCATAGGAGACTACACAATATATTACTCGGAAAAATATAGAATTCTTCAAATATTAAATAGATATCAATACACATACAAATATAAAGCCGAATAAAATACTACCATTGGCATTGAATGTACAGTAATACTTGTACTATGTGCGACTGAAAGAACAATGTTCTGAATATTTGAAGCTATTACTAAAATACGGTCAGATAGATTGGGATTTGGAATACCGAATACGTCTAAAATTTTACTAACTGTGGTCTAAATAAATGATAAATGAGCATGTATTTATTAATTTCTTCGAAATCACGAGTGTGCCAATAGTGGAAGCCATATCGACGACGAAATTGTCAGCAGTTTATACAGTAAATAGTACAACATATATACAAATATACATATATACATATACATATATATATATACGACATATATTTATATACATATACATATATATATATATATATATATAACTACAGACGGTACCGTTTCGGCCTTATGGGCCTCATCAGTGTAGTGCTGATGAGCAGGATGAAAGTAACTGCTATTTACAGTTACCTTTGATGCCTCACGATTGTGGGACATCAAAACCATGCCAGAGCGCTCAAACTGCAAGCAGTGAGCGTGCGCTCATATATATATAGTACAATCTCCAGACATGGATGTTTCGGCGTCCTACGCCTCATCAGTGCAGCTTGGTACACATCTAGACACGCAATGACTTTCGTATTGATATACATGGCACTTGCTATATATATATAGTTATATATATATATATATATATATATATATATATATATATATATATATATATATATATATATATATATATATATATATATATATATATATATAGTACAACATATATACATATATACATATATAATATATATATATGTACGATATATATTTATCTAAATGACATGCCAGCGAGGATCAACAATATAATTATTCGTACATATTTGGGTATCTTTTGTATGCCTTCGCTTGCTGACTTGCTCACTAATGAGAATAATCCGTGAAGCCACGACGATCTCAAAATGTACTATACTATAGTCTGATGTCAATCCGAAGACGAAGTTCAGAATACTGTTATAGTTTCGTATATTGGATTTAAGCGATAGATTCAAGTCATTATTTATGACAGACTTTTTTGCTGTGATGCTTTGTTATTGCTTTTGGTTTCCATTTCTAGTTTTATTTGTTCGATAGTCTTATAATATATAATATTAAAATGAATAAAGTTCAAATTCTTCAAAATGCTGTTGTTGACATTTGCTATTTTTAGTAATTTTGTCAACGAGTGTAAGCCAATCAGAAGTCTGCGTTTCTATACCAACGCCACTACCAAGAAAACCTA